GCAACGGGTGAAGAGAAGAACTCAGTAATCCTTTTCTGCTCCTGCATTGCGCTTACGGCCACTGAACAACACGAAACATATTTCAATCTCAGTGGATGTACAACAGTTTCAAAGGGCATATACTTGACACACAATTTTCAATGCCTATTGAATCGATTCAACCGAGAAAAAAACAAGTAATCTTGAATCCACTGATTGTAAGATGAATAAGGCTTTCAAGAACGTTAGGGAGGATGAAGAATCAGACAAACCCCCAACATAGCAATGCAACAAATCCGCGGTTACACGTTGCCTTTTATGAAAAAGCTGCACAAATGTCAAAACACAGAAACCGCTTCGAACCTGAGCTTAAATGGAAGTACTGGACCAATTCAAAATCTATTTCCTCCCGCCTTAGGTTATTATCATTCGGGCGCGGTTCTGTATTTAGAGCGTAGCGTATAGCAGCTTGGACATGTGCAACGTTTTTGAAGGATCGGAGAAGTGTCGAGCTTAGTTGAGTCCTCTTTCAACGTTCTCAGAATATAGTTCGATCTCTGGTTTCATTGTTCCTGTGTCTCACTCTTTTTGCAATTCCTCGCCCACTACAAGACAAGAGGAAAGTAGGTTATTGTAATTTAACTCCAAATACTACGTGGAAATCTTCAATTATTCGGTTTTTCCTCGCTGGAATTTCCCTACGTTGCAAGGCCACTTTGCTTTCATTCCATTACTGTGTTCGATTTCTGATTATCTGGGTCCTAAATTTTTCCTTATATGATTGTTCTCTGAGTATCCTTTTTTCAGGCTTTTAGGAGTTTATGTGAAAGTTTCAGGCATGTCGAAATCTGATTTGGAGAAGAAAGGTTGGTTACTTATCGTTTCGTCGGCACAGTACTAGTGCCCAATTGGTTTTTCTTTTAAGCCTTCACTAAGATACCCGAGTACATGTTAGAGCAGAACAGACCTTACAGTGCCATTGATGTGTTCACCAATTTGAAGCAGGAGTTCGGAAAAACGGTGTGTCTTATGTTTTTTATAACAAATATTTTATTTAGTTTCTAAGTATTGAAAAATGACAGCATTTCAGTTAGTTCTGAAGGTTTTGGAATCTTGTGTCACATCTGGCATTCTGAAGGACAAAGTCATAGGAAAACAAAAAATCTTCTACGCAAATCAGGTACTTTTTGATGAAGTCCAAATACTTCATTTTCAAGCTCTGATGTTTGTAAATGGATCTATTGATCGGATCAGTTTGAAATGTTTTCACCCTTAATTTTGCTCGGTTTAGGATCAGTTGTGTGAAATTAGCTGAGGACCGTTTGTACAAAGTTTACCTTTACAAATAGTGCCACGACTGCAGTGATCCTGCGGAGGGTCTGCATCTGTTGGGCCAAAATCAAGTTCAAGGACGAAATTGAGGTTGAAGGGCTAAGCCTGTTAGGATACGTGGGGTGTTGGCAGGCTCTTATGTGGTTTATGGAGTCGACGTGTATAACTCCAGTAGACTTAGGAAATGCTTGTTGTAGATCACGTTTCAAGCCGGTCATATCTGAAGACATGGATTACCGAAGCGATTTCCTGATCCATTTTTTTGCAGGACAAACTTGAAAAATACGACGAAGCTGCCATCGCTGATTGTGATTCGAAAATTAATTCGCTTTCTGAGGAAGTGAAGAGTCTGACAGCGAAGTACAAGGATATTCAAAGTGGTGAGTTGCAACTTAGCAGAACTAATCACAAGTTCCGGGTGAACTCGCTACAGAATTGCGAGACTTGAGCAATGTTAGAACAACTGCCGAATTGCGTACCCTGACTTCTGCGATCAAGACGAATGTAAGTTTCTCTTGATTGGATTCCAATCGATATTTGTAATTGCTCAGCTCTTTTCAAGATTGACAATATGAAAGCTCGAATCGCTAAGCTGGAAACCTCAAGAGATGCAGCAGCAGCGGAGGATGGTAAACGAGCCCTTCAGGCGGAATCAGCGATTTCGAAAATTGTACAAAAGCGAAAGCGACTAGTGAGCATTCCTTAACTTTCCCTTTCTTTAGCTCGGTTGTAATTAGTTTTAACTATCTTTTAGCTATATACTTATAAATAATAATTTCAGGCTACAGACATGTTGAATGCTATAATGGAGAATTCGCCGCTTCCTAAACGAGAACTATTGGTGAGTTGATGGCGTTTCTTTCGGGAATGTATTTCTCATCATACCATTCAGGATTCCATGGGTGTTGAACTAGACTGAGTTGGAATTATAGTACTGTGATATGCTCTCTTCCACATCGAGAATGCCGTAAAAATTACTTTCCTTGTAAAGTTGTTCACCACTGCATAATTCGTTACGATACATTGTTGCTTGTTTATTGTTGTGTAAATATGAACCCGTTAAGATGTGAAATTGTGTTTATTGTTTCGTCATTGTATCATGTTGCTATTTAATTTCATAGAAATATCAAGAAAGGTTTTCATAAAAATGAAAAAATGCTTGATCGTAAAACTGTTCGGTCTTCTTCGATGCTGCGAACTGCCTCTGTATCGCTTAGATTGATTTGATTTTTGAGACATAAACGTGAACTAATTTTCATCTAGATGGAAACAGAAGAAGGATTCCTTAGCGTCTCCAGCAACGCTCCTCGACAACTTACCGAAGCTGAAACTAATAAGTTGCTGCAACAGGTATACCAATTCCAGTAATACATTTCCATGTTTATTATTTTTCGACTGTTCAGGACATTGTCAGTGACTTCAAGCAGCGGAAATTAGAAGAAGAAGCTCAGAAAAACTGGGACAAGTTCTACAATAGAAATCGAGAGAATTTCTTCAAAGATCGCAATTGGAGCAGTCGAGAGTTGCAAGAGATTTGTCATGACATGGATCTAACGGTATGCCTCTACATTTGAATGTTGATCTTATAGCTAAATCACATGAATAATGCTCAATTGATTCTAACAATTCAGAGGCCGCTCGTCTTTCTAGAAGCTGGTTGTGGTGTAGGAAATATGTTGTTCCCACTTAAAGAAGCATTTCCGAACTTTAGCCTTCAAGGTTTCGATTTTTCACCTCGTGCCGTCCAGATGTGCTCGGATCGAGCAAAACAATTAGGGGTTTGTTAATCAGAATTGCTATGAATTTCAGGAATACCTTTAGTTGGCAATATACGTTTTTCACATTACAGATTGGATTAGAGACTGCGCTCGTTGATCTTTCCACACCTTCGGAAACCTCAGAGTTCGAGGAACAGGCCGATATCGCGACGCTTATATTTGTACTTTCGGCCATTCATCCGGATAAGCACGCGAACGCTGTGAGGAATATGCTTAAATATGTCAAAGTAAGTTAACTACTTATTATTCATGATTTCATTTTTTTTCACATTGCAAAGTCTACGACATACTGTTTTCTGATTCTTGATAAAAATCTCCTCTCTGTTGAAGCTGTCGAAACTAGTTGAGTTTTGGTTGCTTGAAGAGAAGTTCAGAAATCTAATTGCTCGTGTGTTGGGTTACAGAATGCGAGTTGAAATGTATTAGTGGGTCTTGTACTGGTCACAGTGATGAAATCAAGTGCAAAAGCAGTAATCTACTGTGCAGATGAATCCGTATTGAGGGTACAGTAAAAAATATAGTTGATGTATGAGTAAGTAACTTGCTGTCCGGTCGTGCTGTCCCCCATCAGTCTATTCACTCCG